CAGGCAGCAAACGGTAGGCTAACGGAGTATAGTGATCAATATGAACAGGCAGGGTACAGTTTTCCAAGAAGAGGGAACGAAGTCGAGTTATACTATGATCAACGTTTTGAGCCTCTCTGCGATTGCGACATGAACTATCCGTGCTGTGACGAATGCGAAGCTGAATTCCACGACGACTACGGAACGGAAAGTGACCTATACGAATCGTCTGATAGGGAGGACGAAACGGAGACCGAAAGTGAATATGAAGAATCCACCGACATTGATGGAGCTGAGACCGACACCGGCGGTGAAGGTGACAGCGACAATGCACAAGATGACGACGATTTCTACGATGAACCACAAAACGCTAATAATAATGAGTAACAGTGTTAATGTACGTATCAAAATGAAGCTACACAGCGAGCTGACAACGACGCTGGTCACGCACAACACTATGCCATGCTGGGGCCGACAAACCACGCAAATATCCAGCAGATGTTTGATCCCATGGCCCATACGGCACCTTAGAGTGGGTAGACAATAGATACGTCGGACAAGACATTAATGTTCTTTCACAGCCCTACAAAACCCTACGTTTGACGCGCGGGCACCACAAGCAAAGAGTCATGCGGCACTACAATGCTAGAACTTTTGTCACACTTAATTCAGTACTGCACACCGAGGCGCAACTGCATATACGTCTACGAGAGCAACCAATGGCGGAGAATGGTGAGCAAAGGCGACAGCTACCTCGTGAGCTACCGAACCACGAGGATGAGCAACAACAACTTGCACACGAAACACAACATCAACTCACTGAGGAAACGGGATACGATGAAGACTACGACGAGATAGCGGAACAATCGCGATTAGCCTTGCAACATGCATACGAGGAATTCGAGCGCGTATTTCAAGAAACACCCGAGGAACAACAACAGCGGTATGAACAGCTGATACGAAACGCACAAAGCTACCGTCCTACCAATCAACGTGAACCAGGCTCCCGAAATGTCGAAAGATTTGGCAGCCAGCAACCTGCTGTCGTTTACCAGCTAACTGAGCGACAACGGATTCAAGCGGAGAGAACTCGAGCAATCAATGAACGTATGCTGCAGCTCGCTTTCGAAGGCGGATACGGCCCCGATGAGGACTACAGCCGGGACCGCGAATTCGATCGGCTCCTTAACTACAACCTGCAGGCCATTGAAAATACAATCCTGGACTACAACCCAGAATCCGAACTCGATACAAACCTAGGCTACAACCAAGAATCCGAACCGCAGGTTGAATTGCCTCGTGCGCTTACAACGGACTACCTACTTGAGGACGATCCGTATTTCCCGACGTCGGTTGACCAACGACTGACATATTCGGACAGCACGCCGACAGTCTCAATTACGGAAGGGACCAACATTCTGCAACTGCCTCTACCATTGACGCCCATTGGGAGAGCGGAGTTTCCTGGGGACGCATACGTGGCTGACAACTACGGTTCTTTGGAAGACCAAGACGAGGAGGACGAGGAAGAGCCCCTTGAGCACTCCAGAGGAATGCGCGTGATACAGTACAACGACCAACCAAGCCTTTCACCTGATGTGCACTCGGAAGACGCGTGGCCCTCGCCGTACGAGCGTCGGCGAGTCCGTCAGGACATTGCGCCGGAGACCGACGAGGAAATAACGCCGATGAGGGACGCTCATCCGCAGTTATCCTTATCGGCACACGCGCCCAGGAGAACGATCATCAACCTCGTGCCGGGATACACATCGGAGTCATCTTCGGATTCCTCACCCGAATCGTCGGAAGCATCCGAGGAGTCTTCACCCGTCTGGTATACCGTAAGTTCACCGCACTTTCACGAGCGCACATGACTGCAATACAGAATAGAGTGCATTACCCCGACGACGGAAGAGATGGCTCTCCTGCCCCCAAGCGCCATTTCCGCCGTGCGTGAGCGTCGAGAGATTGCAGCGAGATACGAGCCGTGTCCGTGGGAACGAATTTTCGATGTCGACAGCGAATTGCATCCGACGACACCCTGTTCGGCCGCTGGCTGGACCTAGAGCGTGAGATACGCGAACTCGAGCGCCAACAGAGGCATGAAGCAATGGTGAACTCCTGCAGTCGGGAATGGTTTGGTCCCTCCCAGAACGCGCTAGTGCGACCGGAGGGCGACGCTACAACGTGAGCAACGATCGATGGGAGATGACCGACACAGACCCGGAGGCAGGTCCGCTGTCTGACGACCGCCTGGGAAGACTGCTCAGGCGAAGCGGCCTCCTGCGAGGAGCTATAGTCGAGCGCTACGTAGAAGAATGTGACGATGAAGATGCGCCCCGGATTCGAGGACCACGCCCACCGCTGTGGACGAGGCCTCACTGGAACTGGAGATTCTCGCGGCTACCCATGAACAGGCTGTCGCATGGTCTTAACAGGTATCGGCGTCTGCGCAGGATGAGCCGTAATTAAGCACGTAGCATAAACATTCAGACATGAACACCGGCGGTGGCGTGTAATGAATTTTGATATGAATGTGGTCGTGTGTGGCGTGGTGTTAGGGGCTGTGGGTAAAATTGTGTGCGGTGAGGTTGAGACGCCGAAAACGGCGTCTGACCGGCCACACGCAAGCGCCCACTGTGGTGCCATAGGCCCACGTACCGCCCTACTCGCCCCCGGTGTGTGCAGCCACACGGCCCAAGGCGCCCTATCGGGGCCCGGGGGCCCCCATCGGGCTCAGCACCACCGCTTGGGTAGGCAATCGGGCGCGCCCAAGTGGTTGGGGAAACGCCTGGGCAATGCTAGAGGGCTGCTGAAATGGCTGCCTGTGAGGACGGCAGCCCCCAGGCGCCGGAGGGGCCTTCCCAGCACCCTTGGTGCCACTGTTAGCTATTTCAGAAAGTATTCATTTTATTGAGTTTTCACATAAGAACACTTGTAGCGCACGTTTGAGGCTCCTCGAAGCAATATTAACATTAGCGAAAACTGCGACCAGACTAATGCCGAGCCGGCCAGTTATGGGCGGCGTAGGCCGACTGGGAGACGGCGTACAACCGGTGGAGTTGCTACGTAGAGATTGCCATGCTGACTGTTGTATTAATATTTATGGCGATATTTTCCATGGTTTCTAATGCATTTTTGGTTTTTTATATAGGCAGCACTGCAAACATGAAGCTTACCGTCGGGCCCACTGGCCGGGGAACGAGCAGCCTTCCCCTTACGCTTTTTCACAGACACGCTTACCTTATGCCGTTTTTAACACGTCACACAAAATAGTAGTCGATGTCACACTGCAAACAAGGCATAGTACGACGACACAGTAGCGAATTACAAATCCGTAGGCAGACAGGGTCACCTAGTCGAGAGACATCATTGGGTGACTGACATAATACATAAAATGAGACGCTGTCTAAGGGTTGACATTACGTTTCACACGTAAAATATGCATAGCAATTTTATTACATCCACTACTATACATATGCCACCTAGCACTGCACCGCTGGGACACCTTTCACATCTACTGACCACATACGGTCACTAACTTTTGAACAAGCCACCCATGCTAAGCATTATATGCTACATTACCTACGCTAGAGGACAGTGTTTACGGCCATATCGTCACCCGGTGGACCACTCAGGTGGAGCCTGCTGCCGGATGCGGCCTTCGGGACGTGCCGTGTTGGGAAGGCGCTGGCATGTGAGTCTCTTCTCCGCGAGTAAAGCTTCGAAGAGGCAGAGAATCTGTGTCTTCTAACGCGTCTTTTGAAGTTCGCAGACGATGGGTGACGTATATGGACTGGCGCATGTGACGACGTGGGAAGGGCAGCGGAGCTGGCCGCATACGGGTTGGTGGTCTACGTGATATTTCATGTACTACCGTTTGATATAGCTTATGTGACGTTTGATTAGTGTCGTTGCAATACGCGATTAATCGCATGACTGCCGCGCAGCTGCATGTCGAAATCGTCGACCGGTCGCCTACCCGGCTGAGCGGTGGCAGCGTTAGCAGGGATTCCACGTCATTCCTTGACGATCGCGAGATTTGAAGCCTTGCTTGTGATTAAAGATGTGCCTGAATGCGTATAATGATGAAATTACCTGTTGCCTTCCACTCGGCGTATCGCTGCTGCGTCTCAATGCGTACTCCACAGCCGTACATGCCACACAGTGCTGCAGCAATTGGATTATATGGCACGCAAAAATGTGTTGTGGATCACTTTCACGATCATACTGCGATCCTTTTGCTGCCTCTGTGGTACTGTGAGATGCTGGGCGTCCCTGCTTTAGCTAGCAGAGCACTAGCGGAGTTGTGCAATGTATGCGTAGCCGCGATGGTATCCGCCGTGCAATCATGCAGAGCAGAGAGCGCTGTGAGATGAGCGCACTAGACCAGTTTCCAGTCTTTCCAGCGTGTTCACCTTTTAGCTGAGTAGATGCTTAGATCACTGTTAGCTAGTCGTGGCCGCTGCTGCGTCGTAGAGTAATAAACGAGGCGTGAGATTAGTGACGTTAGGCGTCCAGAGCGCGTATCGCGCATGTGATTCACAAGGGTCGTTTCAGAGCGGCCGACTAGAAAGCGCATAAATTGGCGACCTTAGCTTTTAATGGCTTTGCAATGCTTTGAGGGCAACGGTAGTTGCCTGTTGGACGTGATATGTAAAGCTGTGCTGAAGTTATTATCGAGAAACATCGCGTTGAAGGCTCACTTGAGTATGTTCCACAACGTTCACATAGCTATTAAAGGGACACGTAGAGAGTCAGCTTAATACGTTGCGTAGCGGAAGCAACGCATTCACGTAGATTCCACGTAAAGGCACAAATAACATACTTGTAGACGGCGGAGCGTTTCTAGTGAAGAGCTTGTCTCTTCAAGGAACGTATCAACGCAGCTATTAACCGCTATATTGCCGTTTTACGGTTATTTACGAAAGAGGTTAGCGGATATTTCGTGAATGACATATTAGCAAATTCGTGATTTGGTTGGCTCTCTGGTTACCTCTTTGGTTCGCAATTTGGTTAAGTGTTTGAGTAGCACGTTGAATAGAGAATATACTTTTGGTAGAGCTAGGTGAAGACCGTGGTTTAGGTCACGCTTCCGTTGAGGTGGAAGTCCGCCTTTTCGGCCGCCGGATAGCTTAGATACCTGGGTCCTAGGAAGAAACAGGGCGTCTTCACTGCCCTTCGAGCGGCTCCCTGCATGCGGCCGGAGGCTGCGGAGAGAACGGAAAGACGCGTTTTGTTTGTGTCTCAGGTTGGCCGTGATATGACCTTAAAGTGGTCTAAAAGGTGTCAGTGATGGCGGGGAATGAATTTTTTGCGTGATTCCTTGGTGGTGTATTGCGCTGTGGGTGTTGCTAATGTAGTGGTTTCGAACCGTGGGTCCCGGTGTTAGATGCCCCATGTGGGTGGGGGGGTATCCTTCCGTCGGTGAATATTTTCGGTGGTTGGCGGAACCGGGCGGTATGAGCGCGGTGGATGCCGAGAGTCTCTGAGTTGGTCGATGAAGTCTCCAGGAAGCCGAAAAGGGTCTGGAAGGCTGCTGGTCGGCGTTTAAAAGGCATAAAGCTTCCTTGATTGGTGAGCGGGGAAGCCTATATTGCGCGGTGAGTTTTTCATTGGTGTTAAATTGTGTAAAGTTAGTGGCGGTGCTTAAAATTGGCATACGTGTCTTGTTTCTGTCTATGTGCGTCCTACAGTGTAGTAGTGTAGCTGTGATCTTGTGGTGTTAGGTGGTGTTGTAATAACGCGTTGGCAATTGTCCGGTTAGTTAGTCTCCAGAATGGTGCGTCAACCTAAGAAGCTGACGGACTGTCCGGAAAATCTCCGGGAGTCCATCGACTGGTTGATCCAGGTTAAGCATGGGAATGGTAATGATGGTCTTGGGAAGTTGGCTGAGGCTTTGAGAAAGTTGATTGGTGACGCTATTTCTAGTGCTACAACTTCCCTCCAACACAAATCTCAAAAGCTCTCTTGCTCCCCAAATCCACAAGATCCCAACTCCTACTGTAATGAGCTTGATAAGCACATTAAGTCCAACCAACAAAAACTTAATGAAGCTAAAAACACTAATAAAGACTCTAATAAATCTCTAATATCCTCTTTAGAATCACAAATCAATGACTTAAAGTCTAAAAAAGATGACTGCACTAAGTCCCATTACATGGATGAGCAGCGTGCGTCCTCCCTTGAGGAGGAAGTGCATCATGGCATTGATGTTATAGTGAAGCTTACACAGTTTAGTGGCTCTGAAAAGAGCATTGAAACACTAATTAATAAAGAAATTGAGAGGCTTGAAAAGCAGCATAAAGACTGTGAAAACTGTCAAAAGTCTCATCCCTCTTCTGACTGTCCCCAGCATAAGAAGCTTGAGGAGCTTAGAAAGAAACTTGAGACATTGCAACAGAATAATAAAAATAGTCCACGTGATTTATTAAATAACCTTTGCACAGGCCTCGAAAAATTTCTCGGCTACGAGAATGGTAATTACACCGGAGAGGGAATTGTGTACTCGGACCTTGACAGGCTCTGCGACGGGGTGATGGCGTTCCTTCATGGAGTTCTTGAGAGTGTGAAAGATGATGATAACGTTACAACTTATGATAATAATCATGATATTAACAATGTTATTCGCATTTTACATGATAGTGTAGGTAAAGGCCGTGAGGCCTTCGGGAAGGCGTTGACTCAGGTAAGTGAGTGGTTGAAATATTATAATGATTATGTTGCAGGTTCGACGTCCAATGTCACAATTGAATTAGGTAAGCTACTTAATGATTTATCATTTGATTCAGGTAAATATGTTCAAGAAGTTACAAGTCAAGAGAGCAAGCCACTCAAGGAGCAACTGACCAAGTGGACCAAGACTGTCGAGGACATTGATACTCACATTAACGACAACATAATCACTAATGTTGATAAATTAGACCCCGCACTTAGCGATAAGATTAAGCGTAATATTGAGCCCGTGCAGAAGGTGGTGGCGCACTTGGGGGGGGTGGGCAGGGACCCAAACTTCACTGGGCACCCAGAGTTCGTTGATGAACAACTTAGGATTCAGAGGGAGAATGTTGAGAGAGTTGTTAATGTGGAATGTGAAGAACTTCAGCGTAAAGTACAACTCGACTTTGCCAAAATATTCGAGCAAAGTAAACGTCTCAGTCGGAAAAGAGAAGAAGAGTTTGGCTATGTAAGGTATGCTGTAAAGCAGGCTAGGGATGCTTTCATTGAAGATTTTGAAGGAAAATATAAAAGCGAGATTGAGCGTTATTTCATGAAAATAGAAGAGACAATGACGGCGATTGATACTCAAAATACAACTGGTGGAAACTCTCAGCTTCACAAGTTAGCTACTAAAATCAAGGATGCACTTGACGCCCTTGACGGTCAACTTAACAAAGGCGCCAATGCAATCGGTGGTGCCATTGATTTCGCTGTAACTGAAGTCAATATTGCGCTTCGGGATTTGGATGGGAAAGTGATGGAGGATTTGAGACAGCTGGAAAGTGGGATTACTGTGACACTTAATCCACTTGTGGAGAAGTCGGTGTCATTTTTCGCCACCTTTAAAAAAACAAAAAACGCAATTGAGGTGGCAATTGACGCAGTATCGACGGACATTAAGAAGTTTAAGGATCTTACGAATCTCGACACTTTTAAAAACAGCGCTGCACCGCTTCTAAATGCAATTGGTTTAGATGGCAAGAATGCCTTCGAAAAACTTATAGCATATTTCAACGATATTAGTGCTAAGGTTATGACGCCTTTGAAGGATGTGATAGGGGCGATTGGTGAGGGCATTAGAGTCGGTGGCATTATGAGAACAGAGCTGCTGAAGACTGCAATTAGGCAGTCTGAAGCGCAGCTTAAAGAGATTCAAAAGCTTGTTGATGGGTCCATTAGTAATCTCGACATCACGGCAATTCCACTCGACGGCAAGGCGATCAAAATCGAAGGCGTCACCAAACTTAGTGAAACTCTCAAATCTCAAATACCCAAGCTCATTGCTACGATTCAGAAAATTACGGGAAGTGGAGGCAGATTAGAAGCGGAAGCGGTGAAGAACCTCCTCAAAGAAATTGCCAAAATACCCCATGCCGTCGCCATGCATTGCCATCTAGTAGTCCAAAAAGTCATGGATAAAATTAGAAGTCAAATTAAGCAAGAAATTACCAGTGTGGCTGGAATCGTTGAGGAGAAGGTTACGCAGTGTTCCAATCTTCTTGAGAATAAGGAAGTTAACGGACAAGGCGGCGTTGTGGATAAAATCACCGGCCTTCAGAAACTGGTGAACGAGTTTGATGGTAGAATCAAGCAGGAACTGCAGATTCTAAAATATAAAGTTGATGCAGCTTTTAAGAAAAAGACGACGGGTGTTGGTGTAGATTCGAAAAATTATAATCTTGAAACTATAATGCAGGATTATCACAATCACGCTCATGGAAAAGATTCCACCTCCCTTAAGGCCAAAATTGCCGCCATCAAAACACACCTTCAAAATCATTTTCCCACCGGCATAATACCCAGTGGCTCGAAATTCAACCTCACAAACAATGGCCCATTTCACGAATATAAGGGCAATAAGGATGCCGCCCTCGCCTCAATAGAAAGCATCCTCCAGAAAATCAAAGAGCTTGAAAACCTTCCGGACAGTGTTCGGGAAAATAAATACGCGGCAAACGAAATAATGCAAGATTTGAAAACGAAACTGAAAGAGAAAATTAAGTACATTGAGGAAAAAGTCAAGGACGCTGACAACGCATTGGACAGGGGCATAGAAGCCGTAGACAAAGTAGTTAATGCAGCCCAAAAATTTACTCAAAATGCAATTGAAGATCACAGAAATGCTATTATTAAAAGAGCACGAGAAGCATTCAAATTCATCACCTCCGCCGTCCACTCCCTCTTCTCCGCCTCCCACGCCGCCGACCTCCAGGCCCTGCGCGCGCTCGTCGACCAGCAACTGCGGGAAGTGCAAAAAATAATCGACACGGACGCAGTCACGGGCGTGAAGGGTCTTTTACAAGGTTTGAATGGTATGAGGTTTGGCATAAATAAATATGGCGTACCACAATTTACGACGTCTCCAGACAAGAATCTGCTTCAGCAAATTAAAAAAGAAGCAGAGTCTCATCAGTCAAATACACCAATTAAGGACACTTTCACGAAATTAGCAAAAGCGTTCCACTCATACTTCACTCCAATTCATAGCCATATTGAGCGTCAGATCAAGGAGCAACTTGAAAAGTTGCCTGACGACAAGCGTACCGATGAGAACCTTAATAACCTTAACACTGTTAACTCTAATTTTGACATATTACTTAATCACCTAAAAGCAGAAGTAACATCACCTAGACACTACATTTTCGATTACACTTTTGATGGCCACCTAAATAAGCTCATTTCCTCCCTCACCTCTCTAGCCCCTTCCCAATTCGCAAACCTGCGGCACCCGGAACTGCTGGACGCCGTAGGAAAAGGGCTGCAGAGATTTACCGACGAGCTCAAGAAGGCGTACGTGAATACGTATGATGGAGGGGAGGAAATCACTTGGCGGAAACAAGGCACTACAGCAACCGTGTACACTACTCATGTCAGCTATAATACTGAGTTGACTGAGGAAAGCCAAAAGGGCGCTAGAGTATTCCTCACCATCCTTAAAATGCTGTGTCGCGATTTACATAAATTGGAAGATGACTGCGGTGGGAAGTGGAAAACAAAACATATATGTGAAGATGAAAATGACGAAAAATCGCTGGGTTCATTCCTCAAGCGTCTCGGATACCAAGTAGCCAAAAATCAAGCTTCCAAGGAAGGCGAATTGAAATTATCGGTGAATGATTATAAAGGTCTGGACGTTCACAAGAAGCTGAAAGAAGAACTTCAGAATGCCGCCAAAAATATTGCACATATTACAGACTGTTTATCACCTAAAAAATCATTTGACGTCTTAGACATCCTTGTATGTCTCACAACTCACCTTAATCAATATTTCCGTGTCGGTCATATCACAATTGTATCCTCACCTAGAAATCCATGCTCTGTGTATGAGATGCTTGTTTGGTGTTCCGGTCTTGAATACAACGCTGTCTATGACAAGCTCACCACGTACTGTAGCGAGTACGACACGAAGAAAGACAGTGATTTAAAACAGCGTGTCTCAGATGCCGTGCATTATGGTTTGCCTAGTTTAGGTAATTGGTCACATAATCTGCTTACCACTATCCTCGGCACAGGTGACGCATCCACATACTACGCCAGCGATTACTATAACAATTCTCTACGCCTCGGATATCCAACCAGCGGCGCGGATTGTTTACGTACACTGGTTGACATATTCCGCAGATTATTCCCTGTTTTCAGGTTTATGTATGGTCAATGTGGTCTCGGTTCCAGGCACCATGGTTGGGCCGGCTGCCAATATGGCAAGAATATCCCTACGACCAAGTGGCCATGTAACGTTCACTCAGCAGACAAATCAAAGTGCCAACCTAAGTGCGAACCAAATAGCCAACCAAATGACCAACCAAACTGCCAACCAACGTCGCCACTTCAGTGCTACTTAACCGATTCTCTAATCGGCCACTTGCCTCACGATGTAACCTCGATTGGTTGCAAAACAGTCTGTAACACTTGCCCCAAATCTATGCCTGGAATGCCGTGTATAACTCCAATGGGCTTTAGAGGTTTCTCTAGTAGTACGCGTAGAGGTAAAGAGCTGTGTAACGTGCTGGGCAAATTCCTGGGTAATGACTACCTCACAGCCTTGTTCTACGTTGCGGCCAAACCGCCGAGTAACTTACCCGAACATTTCGCATTTGTTAGGTCGTTGGTTAGTGGCATTAAGTTGCCATTAGCGCCGAAACGTGATGAAAATAAGACACTTGCAAACATGTTCAATACATCTATGTCCGAACAGTCCATCGATTTATATAAAAATACATCTGACCTTACTGATGCACTTCAAAAAGCTTATGGTACCAGTATGGATGATCATCAAGATATGGACCATTTAACCGGACTTGCTAAATTGTCAAGCCTTGCAATGACTACGCCGTGTTCCGGCCAAGACGCAAACTGTGCCCCTTATGTATATACGTTGTGCTCCGATTCATACAGCAATCTTGCAATAATGCACTCCAACCTCTACCTCTCCTGGATTATTTATCTTCCATGGACATTACATAAATACCTTGAATGTCTGCTTGACGCCCTCAAAGCACTATTGTGCCAGGACTGGGGATGTAGCAAATGCCTTAACGGTAATAAATGTAGACGAGGACAACATGGACTTGTCGACGAAAAAACAAAGGCGCCACATTGCCAATGTAACAGCATGGTTCAGTGCAGAGGCGTGATGCCAACCTTGTATATATATGGTTTCATGTTTGGTAATCCATCAATGCTGAACGCTAATGGCAAACCAAAGAAATGCTCCGACTTCTGTACGCAGTTACAAAATGTACTTAAATCAACATATTTTGATAAGCTGTTTAAAGAGTGCGACAATTTCCTGTACATTATCAGATCACCGTTCATGAATACACTATTAGCCCTCTGGTCGCTGTCGCTCCTGTACCTGCTGCACATCGCCGTCGTCCGCCTCGACGTGCTGAGGATACGCTCCCACCTGAGAGCACCCTCAAGCCACCGCATCGCCGCGCAGTCCCTACTCGCCGCCGCACGCGTCAAGGCACTCGCCAACGTCAAGTACTTCTCACCATAATCGTGCCTTCACGTGTGATCTGTGTATCACCCACTCACTCACTCAACCACTCACTCACTCAACCACTCACTCACTCACCCACTCAACCACTCACTCACCCACTCAACACTCAACCACTCAACCACTCAACCACCCACTCAACCACTCAACCACTCACCAACTCACCCACCCACTCAACCACTCAACCACCCACTCACTCAACCACCCACTCAACCACTCAACCACTCACTCAACCACTCAACCACTCACTCAACCACTCACTCAACCACTCACTCACTCACCCACTCAACCACCCACTCAACCACTCACTCACTCACCAACTCACTCACCCACTCACCCACCCACTCACTCACCCACCCACCCACTCAACCACCCACCCACTCAACCACTCACCCACTCAACCACTCAACCACCCACCTAATCACCCACCCACTCACCCAACCACCTAACCACTCACTCGCTCACCTCATCTTTCACTGGTCGCTTCGCTCCCTGCCTCCTTCCTCCATCACCTCCTCCGTCGGCGTCCTTCACCCAAATCCTCACTTTCCACCTCTCTCCCTCCACCCCTAAAACCGCCTCTCCTCAGCCCATCTTCCCCCTTCATCGCCCTCTTTCGCCCCTTCACCTCCCTCACCCTGTCCACCCACCTCCCTCACTGCCTCACTGCCTCCTTGACCTAAAATCGCCTTTCCCCAAATTCCCCCAAACCACCCTAAAAATGTGCCTAAAATAATCCCCCTTTACTCCTTCTAACCCTCCCTTAATCCACTTTCAATCCAACCACAATGATCACTACAATGACGTTCATTACCTTACTCAGGATGCCAGGGGGAAAACCTTGGAGGATATTGATGCCCGCCGTATCTCTCTTGGTCAGCTTGCTGGACAACTTATGGGTTTTATTGGTGGGAGTGAGGAAGTTAAAAAGGCAATTTTATATGGTTTGCACAGTAATGTAACTCAGCTTGTTAAGCTTTTACAAACGTCTTGCGGAGATAAGGGGTGTTGTAAGGATGAAAAAATTAAGCTTAATGAAGTCAATGAAAGCCTTAAAAATCACCTTAATGAGGAACAAAATGCCTCTAAAAATCTTACTGAAATCCTTTCTGAGTGCAATTTGAAGGATCTTGGTGGTCCCTTAAAACAGCTTAATGATGAAATTCCTAAAAAAATTGAGAAGCTTACTAGGCAAATTGAAAAGCTTAAAAAAGCTGATAAAGATGATAATAATAGTAAAAATGCTTCTAAAATTGACACACTTAATAAGGATCTTCAGTCTCATAAGGCTTCCAAGAGGTCTCTTGAGACACTGGATGGGCTTTGTGGATTTGCTGGGAAAGTTAATTCATCACCAAGTGGAGAATGTAAAAACATTTTAAACAATTTGTGTGATGGTCTCCAAACGTTTTTGGGGTACAATGAACATTCCAAAGGCTACGATGGCTCCGGCATCGTGTACTCCGACCTTGACAGGCTCTGCGACGGGGTGATGTCTTTCCTTCATGGTGTTCTTCAGACTGTAAAAAACGACAGTAATCTTAACAAATATGCTAATACGCTTGAAAAGTCTGTTAATGAGCTCAAAACTGCTCAAGGAAAATCTGGGCTAAAAGGCGTTCTTGGCCGCGTGACTTCCGGCATTGGGAATTATGTTCACGAGTTTGAGAAAGACAGTGAGGCGTTTAAAAGTGCTTTAAATACTCTTGATAGCAATCATATTAAGACCTATAGTAAAGCGCTTGAGTCTCTCAATTCTGCTGTAACAGATCAAAATGATGAACTTGTAAAGCAGTTGAATCAGTGTAATCAGGCAGCCGGACAGTTCACTGCGCAGTTAAGTGTGGTTGAAGATAATTTTAAGAGGCTTGACGAGAACCTAAAAAATAGGTTAAAAGATGATTATAACACAATCAAACTCGAGGTGACAAGATTTGCCGCCTTGGCCGGAAATGGTGTTTTGCTAGAGGTGCTTGAGGATGTGGATAAAAAAGCTGAGGAATTGGGGAAGTTGAAAGGGCAGCATGAAAAGGAGCATCAAAAGCTTGTTACCGAGAAAGTTGCGCAGTTGAAGAGAGAGATACAGCAGGAAATTGATAGGATCATTAAAGATGTGTCTAGCATCGAGAGTGATCTGCAAAAGTGGATCGCACAGGCTGAGAGTTTTGTGAAGGAGGCAGAACGTAAGGCTAATTTAATTCTGCCGGAAGTTGATGACACGCAGGGTAAAGAGGCTATAACCAAAAATGCCAGGGCATTGCAGGATAAGGCAGAAAAACTTTTAACAGCTCTGCAGGAAACCCATGGGAAGGTTACTAAGCTGCCACAGGAAATTAATGAGAATCTAAATAAATTGGAAAAGGTTTATACGGAAAAGATTAGAGAGGTTGCTACAGGCGTGCACAGGAAGGTGACTGCTGCGCTGCAAAAGCTTGGGGGGTTGGATAAGCAGGTGAGGAAGGGGTTGTGGAATTTGGGAGGAACGATGGATGTGCCGATTCGTGATGTTATTAGTAAGCTACAGGGAGGAGTCACACAAGCGGCCGCGCTGCAAATAAATGCTGGAAGTGGGGAAACCATGGCCTCCAATTTCCAGAAAGGTCTGACAAAGGGCGATGTCCCTAAGTTGTGGGATTGGGCTTCGGCGGCGAAAGATGATAGCGCTTTTATAGGTGCGCTAGCAGAATTAGGCCACACTGCGAAGACATGCGGCAATCATAACATACACCCCGACCACAGTTTCCAAACATTCAAAAGCTTACTCAGCAAACTGGATGTGAAGAATAATTCAGGTCACACGCTCTTCTCCGCCCTCATCGAAGACCTCACAAACAAAGTTAAGGATGCACTGCATAATACAAAGGACGATGGGGCGTTTAGAAATTCTTTTGATGAATTCAACAAGCATACTATTAAGGGCGGTCCGGATACGCTTAGGAAGGATATCGATAATATTAAAATAGATGGCGATGGGATTACTCTCATGAGTGGTAATGGCAGTTACACCGTGGATGCTGATAACTTCAGGGGCTACAAAGAAAGCGGTGATAGAGGCCCTAAAGCTCTGCTTAAAAAATATATCGGTGTAATATCCGAAGTGCTAAAGCCTTTCCAGCAAACAGCAGAAGTGGCAAGTCCGTCTGACCTTGAGAAAAATAAGGAACCGGTCAACAAGGCGCTCGCTCAAATTACGTTGAAGCTCAAAGAGCTTACAGCGCATTTGAAGGACGATAGCAGAGATCGGAAACGAAAAGGCATCATCCCACTTTTGAAGGAATTGCAAAAGCATATTGGTGAAAGGAATGCTGACGGTCTAAAGGCTATAAAGGAAAGGATTAAGAAACTTCATACGTCCGAGTTGGTTCAACTGCAATCCTCAGCCGTACAAAAACTTCAAGCCGCCCAAGAGACAGCCCACGAGGTCATCGGCGTTGTCCACGACCTTTACCAGGAACAGATCAAATTGGCCGTCACAGCAATCAGGACGGCAGCCAGAGATCAATACAATGCTACGGTTCACAAGGCATTACAAGCGTTGACACAGCTCTACGAAAAGCATAAAAAGCTTATTGAAGATGCAATCAAAACGGACGAAGCATCCGGAATTAAGGGCCTGATGAAGGAAATTAATGATAATAAGACATTGCTGGAGACCCTTAAAACACAAGCAGAATTAAAAACGGCAACGCCTCAGTTGCGAATATTTGCTGACCTCATACTAGATTACATTCATCGTCAAGTTATGACTCCATCAGAATCATCCAAAACGTCCACACCCGTGTCCCATCCCACTGAAAATCTACAATCCCGGCAGATTAGTCTTATCAAGTCTAAGCTTGGCACTTTACTCGACGACCTGTCGAGTTCACATCACTTTGATCACATATTTAGTAATAATTTACAGTTACTCATAGAATCTTTAAGCGGCCTAAGCTCCACAAGCTTCGGCGAGGGTGTCCACCCCGAGTTGCTTAATGTTGTAGTAAATAGTGTCACCGGGTTAAATAAGCACCTTAGCTGCGCTTATGTGAACACATACTCCGGCCGACGATTTACGGAAAACCTTGTGGACGCTGCTTACTTAGTGACTGACGTTAAAAACGGCGAGACGATTATTACGTTGAACGAATATGGTGAAAAATTATCCAAGGTCTGTCTCACTTTGCTGACAATCTTACAGAGCGATCTAAATAAACTAAGTGATGACTGTAACGGAAATTACGCAGGACGCAAAATATATGCGTATACCGATACAAAGGAGAATCCACTCGGCGCTTTGTTCAATACGATCGGTTACAAAGTGGCGAGTAAAACAGGTGACCGGGATGGCGAACTGCGCAACAGAGACGAAATGAGAGGGCGCAATATTGTAACCCTGCTTAAACAAAATGATTATCTGGTCAGCAAAAAAGCAACTGCGCTGTCTACGTTATTTAACCACCTATCTTCTTACTACACTGTCTGCCACCATTCCACATTCTCTGCAACCAGATCATCGTCTAGCATTTTCGAAATTCTATCGTGGCTTAGCGGATTCCCGTATAATCATATGTATGCCAAACTTAGGCAACACGTTAATGCGCTCTTCTTGGTGCCCGATAAATCCAATCCTTCCACTAAAATATCACAGGCCATTGACGCATATCCAGTAGCATTCTACTCCACTGATATCCATTCGGCACTAGACGATGTTTGTTCCCGGTCCCATTCAGTGCTCACTGCCATCCTCGGCAACGGCCATGCAGACGGTGTATATGCCTGTGATTATTCTAACAACTATCTCAACTTGCGTTATCCTAATAATCCTGGCCAGTGCTTTGACCTGCTGGTAGAGTTGTCGTGCAGACTTTATCACCAACTTATGTTCCTATTTAGGCAGTGTCACAATGGCCGTCTTAGTGGTGGCTGGCGTGACTGTCATTACGGGAAAGGAATAGCTGGGTCATCATGGAACTGTAATAAGTTCCAGTGTCCCAACCAAGACTGTGTCCAAAAGCATAACCAAAGTACTAACCAAAGTGCTAACCAAAACACTAAGCAACGCTGTGATCAACATTACGACTGCGGCCTTAAATCACCGCTCCAATCCTTTTTAGAAGACGGTTTAGTTGGCTTTTTGCCTCATGCATATAACAAACCTAATTGTAACTTAACTTGTTCGTTTGGTAACCATCGTGGCCTTCCATGTATCACCCCTATGGGTTTCACTGATATTACCCATAAGGCATCGCGTAGGCAGAGAGGTGAGGACCTCGAAGAGGTTCTCGCCAAATTTTGCAGCGATAAGAATTCAGCACTCAGCAAACTATGCGCTTATATTACATGTCTCGTGAATAGGCCTCCACAAAATCTGGGTGATCTTTTTAGTTTTTTCCAGGGTTACCTAGAAAATTGGAGAGGCAATTTTTACGGAGTCAGACAGTTGCACCCGCATACACAGGAAGCTTTTAATGATGCGGTTAGAGATGCACATTTCGGTAATACATATGCAGAACTGGACCCAAGTTTCTTGTTTAATAGAACCGATCACGTCGAGAGCCACACGAAAGGTGATTTGTTGTGCATAACAACATGTAAATCTGAATTTGTTGATACATGTGGGCTGTACCTGGAGCCGCTGGCGAAAAACATTTATAGCGTTTTCTCTTCCTCACACCAGCGTAATCACCTCTCCTGGATCGTTTACCTCACCGAAAAATTTTACGATCTTCTTAAGAAATTATATGACGATTGCAATAATAAATGTGGAAAGAAAGAAAGTAGATGCCGCGGCAATACCTGTGTAAAAGGGTGTCCCACCGGTTCCACGTCAAATAACTCCAGCACCCATAAAACTGAATGCGGCTCAATTGTTAAGTGTCGCCATACCCTTCCTACACTATTTAAATACGGCTTCACGTTCGGAAGCTCATATGATTTAAGTGGTATGGGGAGACATCCACATCAGAAGCGTACATGTAAGAATCTCTGTGATGCACTATCTAAAGTAATTGACAAAGGATGTGCGTTGCTTGAACTACGTAAACAGATTGACAATTACATCTGGAAGATAAGAGAGAATTTCTCCATCACTTTGTTAGCCCTCTGGTCGCTGTCGCTCCTGTACCTGCTGCACATCGCCGTCGTCCGCCTCGACGTCCTGAGGATACGCTCACACCTGAGATCGCCCTCAAGCCACCGCATCGCCGCACAGTCCCTCCTCGCCGCCGCACGCGTCAAGGCACTCGCCAACGTCAAGTACTTCTCGCCATAATCGCGCCTTCACCCACCCACTCACCCACTCACCCACTCACTCACCCACTCACCCACTCACCCACTCACTCACATACTCACTCAACCACTCAACCACTCAACCACCCACTCACTCACTCACTCACCCACCCAACCACTCAACCACCCACTCACTCAACCACTCACTCACTCAACCACTCACCCACTCAACCACATACTCAACCACATACTCACTCACTCACCCACTCACATAATCATCCACTCAACCACCCACTCAACCACCCACTCAACCACCCACTCAACCACCCACTCAACCACCTAATCACTCAACCACCCACTCAACCACTCAACCACCCACTCAACCACCTCCCTCTATCACTGGTCGCTTCGCTCCCTGCCTCCATCCCTTCCATCACCTCCGTCGGCGTCCTTCACCCAAATCCTCATTTTCCACATTCCCCCTCCACCCCTAATATCGCCTTACCTCAACCCATCTTGCTCCTTCATCGCCCACTTTCGCCCCTTTACTTCCCTCACCCTGTCCACCCACCTCCCTCACTCCCCCAGTGCCTCCTTCACCTAAAATCGCCTTTCCCCAAATTCCCCCAAATCGCCCTGAATATGTGCCGTTTCATCCCCCTTTACTTATTTTAACCCTTCCTTAATCCACCTTCAATCCAACTACAATGACCACTATAACGAAGTTCATTACCTTACTCAGGATGCCAGGGGGAAAGCCTTGGGGGATATTGATGCCCGCCGTATCTCTCTTGGTACGCTTGCTGGACAACTTATGGGTTTTATTGGTGGGACTGTAGAAGTTAAAAATGCTATTATAAAGGGTTTGCAAAGTAATGTAAATCAGCTTGAAAAGCTTTTACAAACATCTTGCGGAGGTGAGGGGTGTAATTGTAATATTATGAATTTCCGTGATGGACCTCTCAAAAATCTTCAAAATAAATTTAATGAAGTTGATAAAATTGAGAGACAAATTGATGGCCTTAATAAAGAAATTGCTGAAAAAAGTGAGGCGTCCTTAAGGACGCCGTCCGGCGGTGATACTGAGATTAAGGAGCTTGAAGAGCAAATAAAGCAAAATGAAGAGAAACTTAAACAGCAAAAAAGTCTTGTTGATAAGCATATTGAAGAGCTTAAAAGTGCTTTAAATACTCCTAAAATCAAAATTGATGAATACATTAAGAAGCTTAATGAGAAAATTGCTGACATCAATAAGAAAATTGAAGCGCATAAAAAGGAAGAAAAGAAGAAAAATAGTCTTATTAAAGATGCAGATATCTCCATTCCCTCCCATCTTTCTCATCCTCTTGCAACCGAGCAGGCTAAATTGAAGTCTCATAAGACTTCGTTGGGGTCTCTTGAAAGTCTTGAAAAGCTTATTACATTTCATGAGGAAGTTAGTAAAAATCCTAAAACTGAAGAATGTAAAAACATTTTAACAAATTTGTGCTCTGGCTTGGAGAAGTTCCTTGGATACCAAGAAACTTCCAAAGGCTACTCGGGTGATGGCATCGTGTACTCGGACCTTGACAGGCTCTGCGACGGGGTGATGTCTTTCCTTCATGGTGTTTTAAATGATGTTTATAAAAATAATAACCTTTCGCCTTATAAAGAAAAATTAGATAAAGCTGTAAGAGATTTAGAAACTCATCGTTATAATGGCAAAACAGGTTTGCATACTGTGATTGACCATGTCAAGGAGGGGATTGCGGGGTGGTTGGAAGCTGTCCAGCTGTCTAACAAAAACATCACTGGGCAGTTGGAGAAATTTATTGATAAAGATGAGAACAGCGTTACAACAGTAATGGAGCACATTGTGAATTTTACAGGTGCGGAATATGATTCCGTGTTATCCACTCTGGATTCGTGGACTGTGTCTGTTGGTAAGTTGAAAAAACATCCCAGTGAGTGCTTTAAAAACATCCAAGAAATAGATGGGAACCTAAAAGAACAATTGAAGCCACATGTCGACGTAATTGATACAGCCGTTGATGCATTTGTGGATTCAGCTCTAACAAGTAAATTTGGCCTTGTTAAGGTGTGTGAGAGGGTGGATGAGGAGTTTGGGGAGTTGGATAAAAAAGTGGAGGATGGGTTGGGGGAAGAAAAGGGGCTTAGGGGTAAGCTAAAAAGTGAAGTTGCGAAAATTAAGAATAATATTGATCGTGAATATAAGAAGGATTTGGAGAGGTCGATTGATTTAGCTAAAAGAAATCTTAAAAGGCTGTTAAGTGACGAATCTAGCTTAAAAGGCCTAGATACTAAATTGAAGCCCAATGTAGACACAGCGTTCAATGATATTAAGCTGGAAGTTACAAGCGTTCATAGGAATCTAGACGACAAGAAAAAGGTAATTGACGGGTTGGTCAGCAATGTTGGAAGATACATTTCGTATATTAAAAAAGTGGTTGGTGAGGAAGACGAACAGGGTAGTATAACAATCTATTGGACTCTAGTTAGAGATGAGATCACGAGGGTTATTGGACACATTGTTGGCAGTGGAAGCAAAAAATCAGGCCTGAGAGGTATTAAGGAAAAAGTTAAGGAATATGCGGAGAGGTTTACTAAGGTGAAGAGTGAGAGGGATGATGGTCCGAATAATTTTGAAAATATATTAGATGGGTGGGTTGATGATATTTTGGTGAGCCAGCCTATCAGAGGATGGATTGAACAGTGGGTGAAATTTAACAAGGGTCACTTTAAGGGCAATTTGAGTGAAGAAGGCAAAGATAAGGATAGGCGAGTCGCAGTGAGAACCGCAATTATATCGTCGATTAAAGCAAAACTTCACGAAGAAATCATGAGGGCTGGTGAGAAGGTTGAGCAAGGCAAAGCTAAGGAGGCAGACTCAGACAGCATCACGAAGAATGTCAATGCTGTTAGAGATGGATGTGAGACATTTGCCACCGAACTGGGGGAAAAGATAAATGAAAAAGGCAACGATATTCTCAGTGCGATTAGGGATGAATTGGTGGATCCAAAGAAACAACCGAAGCCGAAGGCACCCCTGCGTCCTTACAACGATCATTGGTTGACACTCTCCCTACATGCCGTACTCCCTTCCATAGTTGCCAAAGCTGGGCAAGTAGCCGTTGACCTTATCTCGTTCACGTCCACAGATGAGAACCCCTCTAAAGGCATCAAGCAATATAAGCTTGGCAAAAATATTTATGACGCTATTAAGAATGCCGAATCTATTTACACAACTCTCACCGGTTATAGCACAACAATTGACAATGCGTTGCAAACATTAAAGGATCAAATTGAGGAACTTGATAGAATATCGCAGCCCAGTGGTGCACTTAAGTCCAAAGTCGAGGCACTCAGTGAAGATATCAAGAAACTTGAAACACTAAAAAATGGAGCAAGTGATAAAGGCACCATTGAAACCCAAAAGGAAAACGTCACCAAGGAATTGGCCCAGTTAAAACAAAAAATCGAAGCCGACATCCAATCGGTAATCGCCACCCTGAACACAGCCCAATCCCAACTGACCAAATTACTCAACGAAATTGAAAAAGCACTCACCGAATTCCAAACCGCATTCCTCGCCGCCATCCAAGCATTCCAATCCGCCTACAAACAACAATCCACAAAATCCAAAAATGCAATAAAACAGGAAGCCCTCTCCCAGTTCGCCCAGTCCAAGGCCCACGCGCTCGAGCAGCTCAAGGCGCTGGTCACCGAGAAAAACAAGGAGATTGCTGCGATCATCCAAGACGATTCCAACAGCGGGCTGAAGGGGATGATGAAAGCAATGTACGGCGGTGAACTGAATCTTCGTGTTACTGTGAATAGTCAAGTGTACACAAAAAGTAATCTGCTTGAGGAACTAAAAAGTGCTGTAACTGCAAAGCCGGTTAAAGATCAGACTCCTAAAAAAGTCTCAGACCTTTGCACCGCTGTCGACGCATATTTGCGTGAAATCTTAGCGTATGTCGGAATGGACATAAAAACACAATTCGAGTCTGAAGATGCGTCTATGAACGCGTATCACACTAAGCTGCAGAACGTATTCAACGCTTTTGATGGATTATTTTCTCACATCACTAAACATAATTACGATGCTGAATTTCTCGAATTGCTCAAAACGTTCAGGGAGTCCCTTGACGTATTACATCCTAGGGAGTTCCGTGCTCCGACGTATCCCGTCTTGGATGCTCTAAAAAGTGGGCTAACAAAATTATCAGAGAAATTAGATGAAGCCTACGTGAATAAGTATTCAGGTGCGCGGGAAATCACGTGGCAGAATTCTAATTCCGAACCTACGGACAAAGCTAAGAAATGCGCCAAAATATGCTTGACAGTATTTAATGACCTTTTCCGAGAAGCGCAATACCTGTTCTACCACAGCACTACGAAGTGGAAGGACTATACAGTCGGAGGGAACGACAGCCAAAGTAAGGATAAATTGAGAAAATATTTTGAGGATCAAGGTTACCAAATCTACCACCTTGACAAAAATAAAACAGGCAACGCAGTTGCCGTCAAATTGAGTAAAGGACTTGGCAGCCAAGATGAATTCAGAAAACCTGCGAACGCAAATATAACTTTCTATGCGTATATGAACTCCGCTACGAACCCTGAAAATCCCGGAACCCTCCAGAAACTCTACAAATACATCAATCAATATAATCGAATGTGTCACCTAATATATCTCCCTAAGCCTAGATATCCGTGCAATGTATTCCAGATGCTGGCATGGGTTGCTGGGCTCAAACATAATGCCGTGTTTACGGAACTTACTAGATATTTGCCAACACTTCACGAGGCTGGAAATGATCATCACTTTGATCTTGCCTTTAAAAACGTAGTCATGTATCACATTCATAATATTTCCGAATATTCACGTAATCTCATCACAGCCATCCTAGGCACCGGTTCCGCCGAAACCATGTATGCTTGCGATATCTCCAACAATTCTATGAAACTCCATTATCCAAAATCCGGTGGAGATTGTTTACATACCTTGCTCGACCTCTTACGTAGACTATTGCCACCCCTAAGATACCTGCGTATGCAGTGTAGCGTAAGCGCTCAACACAACGGTTGGCGTGACTGTGCATACGGCAAACACGTACCATCCGCAAACTGGCAATGTAACGACCACTCAAACGCGAAACCAAGTGGTCAACCAAAAGGCCAACCAACGTGCCAACCAAACAGCAAACCAAAGTGTGAACCTAGGTGCCGACCAACTTCACCGTTAATGTCCTACCTGAACGATTGTCTCCCTGGTCATTTGCCACATGACTTGAAGTCAGTTGGTTGCTCGTCTAAATGTTCCACCTGTCCCAAATCCACACCTGGAATGCCATGTTTAACACCACTCGGTTTCAGAGGTTTCTCTGGAAGCACGAAAACAGGTAAAGACCTATGTAAAGTGCTAACCGAATTCTTCGACGATGTTGACTTTTCAGCGCTGTTGTGCGCTGTACCCAAGCCGCCATTCACATTGCCAGAACACTTCCAGTTTGCGTTGTCACTTGTCAATGAGTGGCATGATCGTAAGAGCGCAAAGAAGCATGCCGTACAAGCGGCTTTCGAAAAGTCCATTGAACGCGTGTCCATCGCATTAGTCGACGAGCCCGATGTTCTTACTAGCGCCCTAACGAAGGCATATGGTTCCACGTATCCAAGGCATGGTAAATGTGAACATGCCCACGTTAGGAATCTCACAACTGCTGATAGCTGCAATGAAAAAACATCGGACAAAATCGACTGCGCTCCCTACCTCTCATCTCTCTCCTGCGACTCCTACAAGTACATGGCAGAGAAGCATTCTAAGACATACCTCTCATGGGCCATATACCTCCCATGGACATTCTGGGATTTACTCAACAATTTATATAACGCTTTCTGTGGAATCACTTGTGCAGATTGGGGATGCCGTGGATGTCTCAGAGGGGACAAGTGCAAGAGCGGCAAGCATGGTGTCGTTGAAGATGAGAAGAAAGCAGACGCCGTTTGTCAGTGTGAATCTATAGTATCCTGCAGAGGCGTGGCGCCGACGCTCTACCAGTATGGATTCACATTCGGCGAGGCGTCGACGTTGAATGGTAAGACGCCGAAGAAGTGTGAGGATTTCTGCAGTCAACTACATAATGTGCTCCACTCACAGTATTTCAAGGATCTGTTTAGAGAGTGCGACAATTTCCTATGCATTATCAGATGGCCATTTATGTCGTTATTATTAGCCCTCTGGTCGCTCTCGCTCCTGTACCTGCTGCACATCGCCGTCGTCCGCCTCGACGTCCTGAGGATACGCTCCCACCTGAGATCACCCTCAAGCCACCGCATCGCCGCACAGTCCCTCCTCGCCGCCGCACGCGTCAGGGCACTCGCCAACGTCAAGTACTTCTCACCATAATCGTGCCTTCACGTGTGATCTGTGTATCACTCACCCACTCAACCACCCACTCACCCACCCACCCAACCACCCACTCAACCACTCAACCACTCACTCACCCACCCACCCAACCACCCACTCAACCACTCAACCACTCACCCACTCAAGCACTCAACCACCCACTCACTCACCCACTCAACCACTCACTCACTCACCCACTCACTCAACCACTCAACCACTCACTCACCCACTCACCCACCCACCCACTCAATCACTCAACCACTCAACCACTCACCCACCCACTCACTCACCCACTCACCCACTCACCCACCCACTCACTCAACCACTCACCCACTCACCCACTCACCCACTCACCCACCCACCCACTCACACACTCACCCACTCAACCACTCACTCAACCACCCACTCACTCAACCACTCACTCAACCACTCAACCACATATTCACTCACCCACCTACTCACCAACTCACCCACCCACTCAACCACTCACTCAACCACTCACCCACTCACCCACTCACCAACTCACTCACATACTCACCCACCCACCAACTCACTCACATACTCACCCACCCACCTAATCACTCACTCAACCACCCACTCAACCACTCACTCAACCACCCACTCAACCACTCACTCACTCACTCAACCACCCACTCAACCACCCACCCACTCACTCACATACTCAACCACCCACTCAACCACTCACTCACTCACTCACCCACCCACCCTCTCACTCAACCACTCACCCACTCAACCACTCACCCACCCAACCACCCACTCACCCACCCACACACTCACTCAACCACCCTCCCACCCACTCAACCACCCACTCAACCACTCGCCCACTCACCCACTCACCCACTCACCCACTCACCCACTCACCCACTCACCCACTCACCCACTCACTCACCCAACCACTCACTCCTCACCTACCTCATCACTCACTCACCCACTCACTCAATCCATCACTCACCCACTCAACCACTCACCCACCCACTCAATCACCTACTCAACCACTCACACACCCACTCAACCACTCAACCACTCAACCACCCAGTCACTCAACCACTCACTCACCCACTCAACCACTCACCCACCCACTCAATCACCTACTCAACCACTCACACACCCACTCAACCACTCAACCACTCAACCACCCACTCACTCAACCACTCAACCACTCAACCACTCAACCAACCACATACTCACTCAACCACTCACTCAACCACTCACACACCCACCCACTCACTCACCCACTCAACCACTCAACCACCCACTCACTCACTCAACCACTCACTCACCCACCCACTCACCTCCCTCCTTCACTGGTCGCTTCGCTCCCTTCCTCCACCTTCCATCACCTCCTCCGTCGGCGTCCTTCACCCAAATCCTCATTTTCCACATTTTCCCCTCCACCCCTTAAACCGCCTTACCTCCACCCATCTTCCCCCTTCATCGCCCTCTCTCGCCCCTTCACCTCCCTCACCCTGTCCACCCACCTCCCTCGCTCCCTCACTGCCTCCGTCACCTCAAATCGCCTTTCCCCAAATTCCCCCAAATCGCCCTCAAAATGTGCCTAAAATAATCTACATAATATCCTTAGTAACCTGTGCTCTGGCTTGGAGAAGTTCCTTGGTTACCAAGAAACTTCCAAAGGCTACGATGGCTCCGGCATCGTGTACTCGGACCTTGACAGGCTGTGCGACGGGGTGATGTCTTTCCTTCATGGTGTTTTAAGTAACATTAAGCCTAAATTAGGCCAGCATAAAGGCACTTTAACTAGCGCACTTACATCACTTAAAGACACAAATAATAATGGTATTACTAAATACAAGGCGGCGGTAGCCGAGGTGGCCAGTGGTGTACATACATATAATGAGAGTGTTAGTAAGTCGAATGAGAGTGTGAAAAGTGTTATTACTATGTTGCGTGATAGTGTTGGACAGACTTTAACAGATAAGTTGAATGCCATAAATGAAAATAATGTTTCTCAGGACGCTGACCTTTCGAGTGCTGCGGAGGCTGCCAAGGCCTTGGTCAAGGAGTACGCCTCTAAAGGTGAGGATTTCAACAACGGCTTCCATAATAGAGTACAAAAGTACAGAGGTTTTAAAGCTGAGGTGAAACCTAAAGAAGAATACATGGACTTGAATTCTGAATTAAGACAAAAACTCGACAATGTGAGAAATATAATTTCCTATGAAGCTACAAGGCTTAGTACTTTGTCCGCCACGGAGCACAGAAATCTGGAAGAGATTATTGAAAGAATTAAAGAGACGTGTCATTCGCTAAATAGGTGCGTGAATGATAAAATTAGAATAGATGTTAGAAAGCTAGTTGAGCAGTTGAATAAAAAGGTTCAAGAGATTTTGAAACAGCTTAAGAAAATTAATGAGACGCTTGTCGGCTATGTTACTACGTTACAAAAATGGATTAGAGAGGCGGACGAAATTATTGAGCAAGTGATGAAGGAGACAAAGAAGATTGAAGACAAGCATATTGGTTTAGTAAATCAGGATGCCATCAGGGAGAAAGCAAAAGAGTTGGGCACAAGAAAAAAGAGTCTGGACGAGTATATTAACAGCGTGAAGAGTAGTCTCGGCAATTTGGCGTCTACAGCTACGAAGCAAGTTAAAGCTTTGGAAGACGTTTATAAGAATAAATTGTTGGCGATTACGCAGGCGGTGGAGAAAGTTCCGGAGGCGGTTCATGCGCTTGCAGGAAAGTTTACTGGTCTTAGAGGCGACGTTCCGAAGAACATTGATGGGATTTTTGAAAAAATTAGAGAAAAGGCAGCGCAAATTAAAGGCTCCGGAACGCCACTATTTTTAGGATTCGAGGCAATTAAAGAGGCGGTTGAGGACTACGCCAATGATTTCAAGAGTTTTGAAGATAAAGTTTTAGCTAAGTGGGTGGAGAACATTTTGGGGAACAATGCTAAGGTGAGACAGTGGATTGAATGGTGTGGCCAGGCCATTGGTGCCAATTTTAAAAATCCTTATAACGGTCAAGGCGAGAATGCAGTTATGACGCAGCTTACTAAGAAAATCGCGCGGCAAATTATGGAGCAAGTTGACGAGAAAGGCGATATCAAAGGAGCTCAGGCTGCGGTTGGTGCCGCAGATGATGACGACTCAGGCAAAACAGAAATCGAAAAGGCTGTCGAAGCTGTGCAACTTGTTTGCAGTACGTTCGCCGATCGATTTGATGAGAAACTTGAGCCAGGGATAATCGACAAGCTTATTCAACCAGTAGGCACAGCGATGGCTACACAGTTGGGGGGTGAATATTCGGAAGAACATGCCAAAGGATTTTTCGACTGGGCCGCCCGTTATATGCTACACCAACTTGCCGGCGCCGCTAGAGGAGCGGCCGCCGAACTTCACTCTTTAATTCTTGAGACTCGACCGTTAGGCTCGGAAAACGACATCGCAGAGAAAATAGAAGAGGCGCATAGGAAAGCTGAGACACTTCACAGTCAGCTTGGGCAGGCGACTGGACAACCGGCTGGCGGCAAAACTAACTTTGCCCTCGAAGTCGACTCCGCAATCAGCCAAGTGCAGACGCAGGTACAGCATATTACCGGCCCAGCTGACAAAGTAAACTTAGGATCCAACGAAATCAGCGGAAAACGCGACGCCGCCTACAACCCCCTCGAGCAAGCGATCACTTCCATTGAAGGCTATTCTGACAAGGGACTTGACGTCTCACTGACCACAAAAGCCCTTGAATCTCTTTCCACCGGTATCCAATCCAACCTTGAAGCTCTCCAAAAGGCGATGACGGAGACTGGCAAATCTATAAATGAGAAATTAAAGCAGCTCAAAGATGACAAGATCGGCAAGAAAGAACAAGGCGTCACGGTTAACGACGGGACTCTCCAAAAAATTCACGATGATATTCTCAAATTGCTGGGTGGCGATTTGGACAAAACCATAAAAGAGACAGAAGAATTATTAAAAGTCGCCGAGCGAGAAGGGGATACAACAATTGAACATTTAAGATCCCACGTCAACTCCGAAGTTCAAAAGACCATCGAGAAACTCACCACCCAGGCCAACAAGAATTACGTGACGTCAGTCAAAGAGATGCTGAAGGCCTTTGCTAGCAGGGTTCAAAAGATACTGCAGCATTTGCCTAAGGATATCGACACCGACCGCAGGGAGGGCTTTAAAGGTTTTATGAGAACCATTGAAGGCAGAATTGACGGAAATAATACGACGCAGGATCACATTAATTTGCTCAAAGATCTTGCAAGTGAGTCCACTGACACAGCTGAGCAGAAGAAACAAGCGCTCGAAAAAACGTCCATCTCTTTCCTTAGCTTCATTACTCACATTATGCAATACGTTAGGGAACAAGAAAAGGGAGACGGCGGACACGCCGGCGACGTAAAATCCCTTTCATTGCTCTCTCATACATTGTTCCAAGATCTCTACGCTTCGAAACATTTCGATCCTAAATTTTTCGAAAACCTAGATAGACTAAAAAATATGATTAGTAAATTTGCACCTAAAACGTTCGGCGAGGGCAAGAGCCCTTTGCTGCTGGAGACTCTGAGAGCTGGCTTCCCAGCTTTGGTATCAGAGTTGGGAAAGGCCTACTTAAACGTGTACGAGGATTCTCCGCCAATCACTCAGTGGCTTACTAAGGTCACTGACACTGACAAGTCGAAGTCCAGCGACGCTGTTCCCGAGGCCCCCAAATACAAGTTGACGCCGGACGGTATGAATGGTGCTAAAATCATGCTCACCATCACTCCCATCGTGTCCGACGCATTAGGTGACCTTAAAGAAAAACTTGAAAATAAACATAACTGGAAAGACTATAAAATATATAATTCCGAGAAATCTCGCCATAGCCTTCACAGACTTTTCTTTAAAGAGAACGGTTACGATCCTGGTCTACCTGAAAAGGCTATGCACGGTGAACTGAATCATAAGACTGAGTGCGATGGCAATCGCATTCTTGGTCATCTAACCACCGGTAAAAATATACTATTTAGTTCAAACTCCGCTCGCATTGCCGGTGCGTCGTCGTCTCTTGACAATGATGATGAGCTGACCGTTGACTATATTAAAGAGGGCGGTTTAATTCCAGATCTTTTCGCCTACCTTGAGAGTTACTTTGCAGTAGGTCACATAGCCACTTCCTTCTCCAAGAGGGCACCATGCTCAGTGTACGAGCAGTTAGTTTGGCTCACCGGGCTCCCGCACAATCCTGTATACGTTAAGTTACCTAAGCACGTCACATCGCTGTTCGAAGTGCCAGATAAAAACAACCCGTCTGAGAAAATCTATAACTCCATTGACGCCTCTCCTACAAAAATTACAGATGCCTTGACGATTGAAGCTATTGATGAAATATGCGGTAAAGCATACGCCGTGTTGACCACTGTCGTTGGCACCGGTGACGCTGAGTGCGGGTATGCCTGTGAGTTCCCGAGCAATTCGTTGGGTCTACAGTATCCGTCTAATCCAGCGCAGTGCTTTGAAACGCTCCTTGACATCCTTCGCCGCCTGTTCCCTCCGCTGAAATTCCTGTTCACTCAATGCGGTACGCCGGCGTCTGAACATGGTTGGTTGCGGTGCCAGTACGGCAAGGATGTCAAGTCAACCAAATCGCAATGCAACGAGCATACCAAACAGGGAACCAAAGAGCCAACCAAATGCCTACCCAAATCGCCCCTTCAGTCGTATCTAAGTGACAGTTTAATCGGACACCTTCCACATAACTTGTCCTCTATCGGCTGCCAAGCGAAATGTGCCACCTGCCCTGGCGGTATACCAGGGATGCCCTGTCTGACTCCCCTTGGCTTCCGGGGGTTCTCTGGTTCCACCAAAACAGGGGCGTACTTGTCCTCCGTCATCGGGGAATTATTGGAAATAAGAAATGTTTATACACTGTTTGGTCTTGCACCCAAAACGCCACGGACGTTGCCAGAGCACTTCGAATTTGCGTCCGCTCTTGTGCGCGGGTGGCATGATGGCAAAACGTATCATAAGGTTTACTTCCAAAAATCCTTCGAGGACTCGGCTACGAAGCTGTCCATTAGTCTGTATGAGGAAGCTAACAAACTTACAGATGCGCTTCGTGATGCCTACGGTTCTGAATCAGTTGGCCATTCCGAATGCCAGGATCCCCATCTGTTGAATCTTACAGCTTTTAACACGTGTAACAAAAATAATCACTGCGCTCCGTATCTGTCATCACTCTGCGGAGGTTACTACACGTGTCTACCATTTAAGAATTCTAACACGTATTTGTCATGGGCCATTTACCTCCCATGGACATTCTGGGATCTACTAAACCATTTATATAACGCTTTCTGTGGAATCACTTGTGCAGACTGGGGATGCCGCGGATGTCTCAGAGGAGACAAGTGCAAGAGCGGCAAGCACGGCGTCGTTGAAGATGAGAAGAAAGCAGATGCCACGTGTCAGTGTGATTCCATAGTGAAATGCAGAGGCGTGGCACCTACGCTCTACCAGTACGGATTCAGCTTCGGCGAGGCGTCGACGTTGAATGGTGGTAAGACGCCGAAGAAGTGTAAGGATTTCTGCAGTCAGTTGAAGAAAGTGCTAAAATCAGAATATTTCCAGGATCTGTTCAAGGAGTGCGATAATTTCCTGAAAGAAATCAGATTCCCCTTCATGTCATTATTGCTCGCCCTCTGGTCGCTGTCGCTCCTGTACCTGCTGCACATCGCCGTCGTCCGCCTCGACGTGCTGAGGATACGCTCACACCTGAGATCACCCTCAAGCCACCGCATCGCCGCACAGTCCCTCCTCGCCGCCGCACGCGTTGGGAAAATAGTCAACGTCAAGTACTTCTCACCATAATCGTGCCTTCACGTGTGATCTGTGTATCACTCACCCACCCACCCACTCACTCACCCACTCACTCACTCAACCACTCACCCACTCAACCACCACCCACTCACACACTCAACCACTCAACCACTCAACCACTCAACCACCCACCCACTCACCCACTCAACCACCCACTCACTCACAAACTCACCCACACACTCACTCAACCACTCAACCACCCACTCAACCACTCAACCACTCAACCACCCACTCACTCACTCACCCACTCAACCACCCACATACTCACCCACTCACCCACCCACTCAACCACCCACATACTCACCCACTCACTCACTCACTCAACCACTCACCTCACTCACTCACTCACCCACTCACCCACTCACCCACTCACCTAATCACCCACACACTCACCCACCTACTCACCCACCAACTCAACCACTAACCCACCCACCCACTCACTCACTCAACCACTCACCCACTCAACCACTCACCCATCCACTCAACCACCCACATACTCACCCACTCACTCACTCACTCAACCACTCACCTCACTCACTCACTCACCCACTCACCCACTCAACCACTCACCTAATCACCCACACACTCACCCACCTACTCACCCACCAACTCAACCACTAACCCACCCACCCACTCACTCACTCAACCACTCACCCACTCAACCACTCACCCATCCACCCACTCACTCAACCACTCACCCACCCACTCACTCACCCACTCACTCAACCACCCACTCACTCAACCACTCAACCACTCAACCACTCACCCACTCACTCAACCACACACTCACCTAATCACCCACTCAACCACCCACTCAACCACCCACTCACCCACTCACTCACCCACCCAACCACTCACCCACTCAACCACTCACCCACTCACTCAACCACTCACCCACCCACTCACCTAATCACTCACTCAACCACCCACACACTCACCCACTCACTCACCCAACCACCCAACCACCCAACCACTCACCTACTCACCCACCCAACTACTCACTCACCCACCCACTCACCCAACCACCCACTCACCCACCCACTCACCCACCTACTCAACCACCCACTCACCCACTCACCAACTCACTCACCTAATCACTCACCCACTCACTCACTCAACCACCCACCCACTCAACCACTCACTCAACCACCCACTCACCCACTCACCCACTCAACCACCTAATCACCCACTCACCCACTCACTCAACCACCCACTCACCCACTCACCCACTCAACCACCTAATCACCCACTCACCCACTCACTCAACCACTCAACCACTCAACCACCCACTCAACCACCCACCCACTCAACCACCCACCCACTCACCAACTCACCCACTCAACCACTCAACCACTCACCCACTCACCCACTCACACACTCACTCACTCAATCACTCAACCACTCACCCACTCACTCACCTACCCACCCACCCAATCACTCACCCACATACTAACTCACCCACTCAATCACTCAACCACTCACCCACCCACTCAACCACCCACTCAACCACCCACTCAACCACTCACTCACTCACCTAACCACCTACTCACTCACCCACACACTCAACCACCCACCCACTCACCCACTCAACCACACACTCAACCACCCACCCACTCACCCACCAACCACACACTCAA